GTAAGATTCTACACCCTAACCCTCACTTTCGAATTTTGTGTAGAATTGGATAATTAGCAAGATAATTTCTGGGCAGGAGGGTTGTTTATTTACATGCATGTGATATCAAGGGGTGTAGGAAGATTGTTGAACTAGGCATGGTAAATATTGGGTTGTGGGATGATGGAATTCTGCATAAAAGAGCCTTGAAACCTTATACACACCTTGTGTTTGATAAAATACTCAAATGAGCTAGAACCGTGATCATATTCCTAATTTTGGTTCAATTTGTTATATTTCTAAAATAGATTGAAGTTGCTAAGAATTCCGGAACATTTAGAGTGTAAGGAAGCTCAAGTGAGGTATGTTGGCTAAACTCTTCTTTAAGAATTGGAATTCCCAATATCTTTGTAAGTTCCGAGATGTTTATTATAAATGGAGTATTTCGATAAGTTTTGTGGTGAAGATATATGTTCAATTCGTGTTTCAAATGCTCTTATCATATTGCATTATAAATTGATGATGTGTCCCAAACTATGGATTATGTATCCACATGTTATAATTTCTAGTCATGATTTATATGAAAGTATTATGCCAAGTGGTGTAGAGATTGTGATGGTGATACACCTCCACCTGCATACATTAGGGTGAGGCGGCATGACCGCTTTGTGTGGGGATTATGGTATAGAGATTGTGATTGTGATACACCTCCACCCGCATATATATATTGGGGTGAGGCGGAGTGACCGCTTTGTGTAGGGATTATGGTATTGTGGGATTGCACCTCCATCCGCTTACATTGTGGTGAGGCGGTACGACCGCTTTGTGTATAGTTTTGGTATTGTTGTGGCACCACCACCCGCATACATTGGGGTGAGGCGACATAGCCGCTTTGTGTTGGTATTTATATCGTTGATGCATTTCCACCCGCATATAGTGGGGTGAGGCGGCATAGCCGCTTTGTGTATGTTCTTGGTACTGTGGTTATACATCCACATGCATACATTGGGTTGAGGCGGTAGAGCCGCTTGAGTAGAGTTGTGGTATTGTACTTACACTTCCACCCTCATACATTGGGGTGAGGCGGCATGACCGCTTTATGTGAATATGATTATAGTGGATCTCATCTTAAATCCAATAAATGTTATTGATAGCTCTTAATAAGCTTGCTCCAGTTTAAACGGTTATCTATATTATTCTATTGCTGCACTGGTTCATCATATTCATCTCGTTTTTTCTGAATTCTTAAATTGGTGTTTAGTTTTCATACTAGTACTATTCGACGGTACTAACGTCCCTTTTGCCGGGGGCACTGTATTTTTAAATGAATTCATGTGGTTCAACAGCAGGAGATATTGATCAGTGATAGCAGTACACCTTCTTCCTAGCTGACTTGGTGAGCCCCACTTCATCCCGGGGTCATGTATCTTTTGTTATTTGTGTATTCTGTTTGAGGTATAGCCGGGGCCTTATTGCCGGCATTATCATTATACTCTTCTTTATCTATAGAGGCTCCGTAGACATAGTGTGGGTTGTATAATGGTGTTAAAGTCAAACTCGTGTGTTGTGCTTGAATTACTATTTCCACTTCAGATTATGAAAGATGTGTTTGGAATTGAGACTTTAAAATAAAGTAACTGATGGTAAGAAATTAGTATTGTAACATGATCATTTTATTGGTTGATTAACGGAAACATATATATTCTCTTTATTCATGAATGAATTTGGGTAAAAGGAAATCTAATAGGCTTGCTTGGCCGGGTTCACTCGGTTGAGTGCCGGTCGCGCTCCTCGGTTTTGGGGCATGACAATACGAGCCTTTGCTGGTTATTTTGGCAACTCTATATGGTCCTTCCCAATTCGGGCCAAGTTACCCATCGTTTGGGTTCCTAGTGTGTAGCATTACTTTTCTCAACACCATGTCCCCGACTTAAAAATATCGAAGGTTGGTTCTTCAGTTGTAGTACCTCCCTACTCGCTGCTTCTGGGCGGCCAACCGGACCAGGGCAACTTCCCGCCTTTCGTCCAATAATTCCAGGCTCATGGCCATGGCCTCACCATTTGACATTTCGGTAGCATACTGGAACTTGAGGCTCGGTTTCCCTACCTCGACTGGTATCAAGGCTTCCGCTCCGTTGACTAGAGAGAACGGGGTCACCCTGGTACTCGATTTCGATGTTGTACGGTATGCCCACAAGATTTCGAGCAAGATTTCCTTCCAATTTCCCTTTGAATCTGTCAATCTCTTTTTTAGGTTTTAGAGTATAGTTTTGTTCATCGATTCCGCTTGCCCGTTCCCACTAGGGTGGTAAGGCGTTTATAATATGTTCTTAATCTTGTGGTCTTTGAAAAACTTACTTACTTTGCTGCAGATGAATTATTTTCTGTTGTAGCAAGCGATCTCGATTGGTATCCCAAATCCACATATTATGTGGTCCCAGATGAAGTCGATGAATTCCTTCTCCCGGACTTTCTCATATGCTTAAGCCTCGACCCATTTGAAAAAATAATCAGTCATGAGCAGTATGTATTGGGCTTTACCGGGTGCCCATGGCAGAGGACTGACGATGTCTATCCTTCACTTCTTAAATGGCCACGACGACAGTACCAGGTGGAGCATCTCTCCCGGTTGATGAATCATTGGGGCGTGTCTTTGGCATTCGTTGCATTTTTGTATAAAGTCTTTTGCATCCTTTTCCATTTCATTCCAATAGTAACCGGCTCTATAAGCTTTCGAACCAAGGATTCTGCCCCCGAATGGTTCCCGAAAATGCCCTCGTGAACTTCCCTCATGGCTTATTTGGTCTCTCCCAGACCTAAGCATCTAGCCAGCGGGTCGAGGAAGGACCTTCTGAACAATTCCCTTCGACTAAACTAAACCTGGCAGCTTTGGCAAGCAGGGCTTTCGATTCCTTGGGATCTGATGACAATTTTCCTATCTTCGGGTAGTCTATGTATTTGTTTCTCCAATCCCAAGTTAAACTTGTCGAGTTTACTTCAATGTAACCTTCTTCTACTACCGAATTCATCAAATGCACTACTGCCCCCGAGTTGAACTCATCGGAGTCGACAGACGACCCCAAGTTGGGCAGTGCATCAGCCTCGTTGTTTTGATCTCGAGGTACGTGTTGCAGAATCCATTTCTTGAATTGGTGTAGGGTTACTTGCAATTTGACCAAGTATCTCTGCATCCTTTCCTCTTTTACTTCGAACGTTTCATTGACTTGATTTATGTCGATGAGGGAGTCACATTTGGCTTCGATCACTTCGGCCCAAAGGCTCTTAGCCAGTTCCAGACCTGCAATCATAGCTTCATAATCGGCTTCATTGTTAGTCAATTTTACAATTCTAATAGATTGTCTAATTATCCTACCCATATGAGGTTTTAGTATGATACCGAGCCCGGACCCCTTCGCATTGGATGCACCATTCATGAATAGGGTCCAGATCCCTGAATTAGCCCCCGAAGTGAGCATCGGTTCCTTTTCGACTTCAGGTATCAAGGCCGATGTAAAGTCGGCCACAAAGTCTGCTAAAATCTGAGACTTTATGACAGTCCAGGGTTTGCACTCGATATTATACATGTTGATCTCTACGGCCCATTTGGCCAGTTGGCTTGAGAGCTCGGGCTTATGCATGACATTCCTCAATGGGTAAGAGGTCACGACATATAAAGGGTGGCATTGAAAGTATGATTTTAGTTTCCTATAAGCGCTTAGTAAGGCGAGTGCTAACTTTTCTAGATGAGGATACCTTGTTTCGGCATCGTCTAGGGTTCTACTAACATAATAAATAGAAAATTGTGTACCTTCTTCCTACCGGACTAGGACACCACTTACCGCCACCTCGGAAACTGCCAAGTAAAGGTACAATTGTTCGTCTGCCTTTGGAGTGTGTAGCAAAAGGGGGCTCGATAGGTACTGCTTGAGTTCTTTCAAAGCTTGCTGGCATTCCGGGGTCCAAGAAAAATTGTTCTTCTTTTTAAATAGTGAGAAGAACCAATGGCTCTTATCCGAGGATTGTGAGATGAACCGGCACAACGTAGCTATCCGCCCAGTCAGTATTTGAATCGCCTTGATGTTATCTATTACGTGATGTCCTCTATGGCCATTATTTTGTCGGGGTTGATCTATATCCCTTGATTAGATACCATGAACCCAGGATATTTTCCTGAACCGGTCCCAAATGCATACTTCTCCGGGTTTAGCTTCATGTTGTACTTCCTTAATATGTTGAAGGTTTCCTGCAAATGTTTCAAATGCTCCTCTACTCGCAGGGACTTGACCAACATATCATCAATATAAACTTCCATTGACTTTCCTATTTGTTCTTCAAACATCCGGTTTACTAGGCATTGGTAAGTGGCACCAGTGTTCTTTAAACTGAACGACATTATGTTATAGCAGTAGGTGCCGGGCTTTGTTATGAAAGAAGTTTATTCTTGGTCGTCCGGGTCCATCCGATTTGGTTGTACTCGGAGTAGGCATCAAGGAAATAGAGTTATCTCGTGCTCGACCGTCGCATCGATCATTCGATCTATGTTAGGCAAAGGGAAAGAATCCTTTGGGTATGCTTTGTTTAGATCCTTATAATCTACACACATCCTCAGTTTATTTCCTTTTTTAGTCACTACCACTACGTTACCTACCAATCCGGATATTTAACTTCCTGGATGGAACCTATTTTTGGAAGTTTGGATGCCTCATCCTTCATGAATGTGTGTTTCATCTTGGACTGTGGCCTTCTCTTCTGCTTGACTGGATGGAACGTTAGATCCAAACTCAACTTGTGTGTGGCTACTCCGGTGGGATCTCTGTCATGTATAGATGGGACCAAGCAAAACAATTGGCATTAGCTTTAAGAAAATTAATAAGTTTTTTCCTAAGCTCGGGGTTTAACCCCGTGCCCAGGTATACCTTTCGATCCGGCAGGTGCTCAATTAATATAACTTGCTCCAACTCCTCGACTGCTCCTTATTCTTCCTATTTCTCCGGTTCGATTGAGGCCGGTATCATTGATTGCTATTTAATCTTTTCTTTTTTGGTCGGTTCCTTGCTTCTCAATGTTAAGACCGCGGGAACCGAGATCACTTCATCGACAACAAACATTTCCCTTACGGGCGGCTGTTTTCTGTAGATCATTTTGACTCTCCCCGGCGTGGGAAATTTCGGTGCCTGGTGTAAGGTCGAAGGTCCTGCCCTCATGTTGTGGACCCATGGCCTTCTGGATAAAGCATTGTATCTCATATGCCCTTCGATCAAGTAGAACTTCATTTCTTGGGTTGTCCTGGCAATGTTTACCGACAGAGTTATTTTTCCTTTCGTGGTCTGACATGCCATATTGAACCCATTTAATATCCAAACTGCTGGTACAATTTGATCATGTAGTCCCAGTTGCTCTACGACCCTTGATCTGATAATGTTGGCTGAGATACCAGGATCAATCAATACATGTTTAACTTGAGATTTATTAAAAAGTACATATATTACTAGTGCATCATTGTGAGGTTGTACAATGCCCTCAGCATCTTCATCGCTGAACGAGATAGCTCCCTCCGGAACGTAATCCGGGGTGTGCTTTTCCCTCGTAATAGAAACTTTGGTGCGCTTTATCATTGGCCCTTGGGGGACTTCCTTCAATGATCATGTTGATCACGTGCTGAGGCTCCTCGTGTTTGACCTGTTTGATGGCATCCCTATTTCTGAAGTGGTTTTTGGCTCGCTCGCTTAGGAATTCTCGGAGGTTCCCATTGTTGAATAATCGAGCAACTTCTTCTCTTAACTATCGAAAATCTTCGATCTTATGACCGTGCGTGTCGTGATACTTACACATCACATTAGCATCTCTCTAGGGGGGGGGTCAGATTGCAATGGTCGGGGACACTTAGTCTCTTTGATGTGTCCTATGGCCGACAAGATGCTGCAGCGTCCACGTTGAAATTGTATTCCGATAATCTTGGTGCTTCCATACTCCCGAGCGACCTGTCAAAACCACTCTTGCTCATCAGGCCCCGGACGATCGGCCTTCGATCGCTTCTCTTCTCGTTCCTAGTTAGATGATGCCCGGATTAGTTTCCCCTACGATCCGCATTGTACGACTAATACTAATCTCGGACAAGCCTTGGCTCCTGATCAATGACTCTCTTAGATCTATCATTGGTTCTAATGGGGTAAGCAGATCCGGAAGAGGCCCCTAGTTGATCGTCTTCGACCCTGATCTTCGATTGGTATCTGTTGTGGATGTCAGCCAAGGTCACCACTGGGTACTCTATCAAATTTTGTTTCAGCTATTGAGAGGCAACGGAACTTCAGGGATTGAGCCCCTGAGTGAATGCCTGAACGGACCAATCATCGTAACCGGCGGTAGATCCATCCGTTCCATCTGGAATCTTGACACAAACTCCCTGAGCATCTCGTTATCTCTTTGTTTGACCTTGAGAAGGTCTGACTTCCTTGTTTTGACCTTATGGCCCCGACATGGGCCTTTACGAAGGCATATACAAGCATAGCAAATGAGTCAATGGAATTGGGAGGAAAGTTGTGATACCATATCATTTCCCCCTTGGACAGAGTTTTCCCGAACTGTTTAAGCAGCATCGACTCAATTTCGTCATCTTCCAAGTCGTTCCCCTTGATTGTGAATTCATAGGAGGTCACGTGCTCATTTGGATCCATGGTCCCATTATACTTGGGAATGTCGGGAATTCGAAACCTTTTTGGGATCGGCTTTGGTGCCGCGCTCTGGGGGAAGGGCTTCTGGATAAATTTTATGGATCCAGTCCCTTCAATATCGGAGGTGCCCCTAGAATTTGATCAACCCTGGAATTGTATGTTTCCAACTTCTTGTCGTTGGAATCAATTTTTTTCTCGCCTGACTCCACCCATTTTGTTAATGCTTCGAGCATCTTCATTACCTCTGAAGTTTCTCCGAGCTCGGCTTCACGTGGTCTCAAGGCAACTTGTTCGTTTCTCCGAGTATTTTCCCGGAAATTGTTCGAGCTCGATGCTGTTAGGCATGTGGCTTTGGTTCTACAGTTGTGCTATTGCCACTTGTTGAGCCTGCAACATTTTGAAAATCAATCATACGCTCACCCCATCACCTTCATCCTCGAGCGCTTCTTGGGCCGTTGGTAGGGGTCCCCCACAAACACTATTTTCGGGATTAGTTGGCATTGATGTTAATGGCCACATACGAGTTAGCATCGACCGGGTCGGCGGCTGGGACACCATTAGGGTTGGCAGGATGCACATAATTACTAGGCACCACATTGTTATTCTCGCCGTGATAGCCTGACTCTGTGTCAATATTCAGGTGAGGAGACTGAGAGTTCGACACGAAAAATTAAGAATAACATATAGGTGAATTAAAGACAAAATAAATGATAAAACCAATTGCAATGTAATGACTAGCCTGATCTTAGATTGAACAGTAGATCTCGTCCTCGATCGGACCCTCGGTACTAGTTCGGTCGCGCGTACAGAAAAGAACAAGTGTATAATGCCTTGAACAATAGCTAGAAGATAAAAGTAGAGTTTTATTGCTTTGAAATGTGTGTTATAATATATGAGACTAAATAAAAACCTCTCCTTATATAGTAGGAGTATCTCAATCCTAATACAAGTCTAAAAAAGGTAAAAATCTTATTTTTTTCGGTAATTATTGATCTGTAATGAACATCGAATGGGATTTGCGCCGTAAAATCTGGTTAAGGGCGAATATTACGGCCCCCTATCCATCATGCATAACTGTTCACCATGTCTCCCGAGGTACAGAAGCCATACTTGGTCCGGAGTATGTCGCCTTACCGTGTCCGATCTCCAATACATCGTTCATTCTTTCTGGGTCTCGATACGAAGGGTTCCCACCTCGATTATAATCACATCGATCCGTGCTTTTCCTTCGTTCTCTTATCGGGGAATTGGGAGAAATATTTCCCCCGATTTTACCTGTACACAGATAGTCCCCTCATTTTTCGGAGAGTAGGTTTATCGAAGCGAGGGAAAGCGATGAATTAATATTATAATTTTTTCGCTTTTTATTCTACATTATGGAATTATCTATAGAGCAAATAAATTTTATTTATAAAATAAAAAATAAAAAATTAATTTTCTAGCATATATAATGTCAGAATAATAATAATAATAATAATAATAATAATAATAATAATAATAATAATAATAATAATAATAATAATAATAATAATAATAATAATAATAATATAATTGAGCATAATATTCAAAATATATAGTATATATTAAAAAACTTTTATTTCAAATAATTATTATTTATATTTTGTGCATGAAATATATATTATAACACTTTTATTTTCTTTCATTCTCAATTATGTAAATAATTTTTGTGTTTTGGTTGTTAATATGAAAATTATCATTATGAACAAATTGTTTCTTTTACTATGCTCAATGTTTTGTTATTCCAACATTTTATATGCTTAATACTATTTTTTTAATTTATAAATAAAATTTATTTATTATAGGTAAGTCCATAATATAAATGAAAAAGAGAGAAATCATAATATTAAAAAGTTAAAAGAAATAAAAAAGAAGACAAAAGTTGATAATTTAGAGGGTAAAATAGGTATTTGGCAATCAAAAGTTTGAGAAATCTAGTTGAGTGACCTTCTGTCACGGCCACAATCTCCCTCCGTTGGATGTCGTAATGCCACCTAGTCTCTAAGACTAGGTAAGCCTAACACCCATGAAGAAATAACAAAAATAATAAAAGATCTTCAATCTAAACCAACCATCTATCATAAAAGAACTCTGCAACACAACTGACAATAACTCTCAAAATCTGGTGAGACCGAATCATAAGCTCTAAACGAGTATACTGAAACATCCCTAATACATCAATATCTATAATAAGAGTATGTAATAGAAACTAAGACAGAGGGTGACTTCGAGGCCTGCGAACGCTGGTAGGTATACCTTAAAGTCTCCGATCCGAAAGCTCAACTCACTGGTGCCTAGCCTGGTATGAGGTACCTAGATCTGCACCAAAGGATGTGCAGAAGCGTAGTATGAGTACACCAAGTATCAAGCCTAACCTCGGTAGAATAGTGACGAGGTCAGGTCAAGACACCTATTGGAATAAATAAAGAAGTTGAACAAGTATGATACAGTATAATAATGGAAACAAGGAACAGATACAATGAACAAATACAACAAGATAAGCTACACCGAAATTAAGGAAATAAAGGCATTACAGGAGGAACACATAATAAGAACACTAAGGAAACTATGCAAAGAAACACAAGTGATGTAAATGAAAATATAACAACAAGAATCACGTCCGAGGTACCGCCTCGTATCTCATTTCACAGTTAGAATCACAATCTTTTCTTATACCACTACGGGAGCCTTACATTTAGTTTTGAAAAATTATTTTCCCAAAATAGCTACCCGCGTTTTATCCTATCTTATCAAACCGCATGGCTTCAAGTAGTTCCCCTAATAGAAACATGCGTATGAAGCCCACCTTATCTCACCGCATGCATATCAACCCCTATCCTTATACCACCGCATGCATTTCAATATTATAACATATTACAACTCGCACCTCAAGTGCCCAATACCACAACTTGCCAAAAGAATCAACAATAACAATGTTTCCACAATAAATAGCCCGTGGCTCAACCACAATGTGTACAAGAGTATCAACAATAGCAACTAAAAGTGAATAGCTCAACAAGAATAGTATTTCAATAATATACAACTTTGTCTCAATGTGATCATGGCTTTTACCACTTCAACACCAAAACTAAACAATAAGGTATTCCATGAAATAACAACTTCAAGTAAGGTAACTCAACAGTTAAATATTTAACACGGCAATAAGGAAACTATAACTTCAACTAAGCATGTAAGGGCAAATAACAAGTAAGAGATGAGACAAGTATTAACAATGTCAGGTAAATCATGTAAGGATATATTAACGATGATGAATATAACATGTTAATAACAATTCGATTAAGGGCATGAAAAGAATCTACATAACTTAAACCGGTCAATTACCTCATTTCGCTCGTGTATCCACTCGTCACCTTGGGTACACGGCTTTCACATACCACAATTAATACAAAATAACACCAATCCTAAGGGGTAATTCCCCAACATAAAGTTAGGCAAGATACTTACCTCAAAATACGTTAACTCAATCCACTAGTAAGCCTTTTCCGCGAATATCTAACTCTGAACGGCTCGAATCTAGACAAAATAACTTTATGACATAAATACAAACCATAGAAAACTTTTACGAATAATAAAGTTGCAATATTTAAAGGAAATAAAAAAGACAACTCAAAAAGTCAACCTCGGGCTTGCCTCTTGGAACCCGACCAAACTTATAAAATCCAAACACTCATTCAATAACGAGTCCAACCATACTAAAATTACTCAATTCCGACTTCAAATTGGCCTTCAAATTCTCAAAATATATTTTATGAAGTTTTCATAAATTTTCCCAATTTTTCCAACTCAAAACACTAATTAAATGATAAAAACAATGATGGATTCATGTATAATAGCCAAATCCGAGTTAGAATCACTTACCCGATCAACTACTTGAAAATCTCTCTCAAAATCGCCCAAAATCGGGC